TTTTTTTTGTAGGTTTAGTTGCTAATGGCCCCCATGTCCATCTTTATTGAGACCCTGGCGTCTTACATATGTATGTGTGGTTGTTACTTCTGTGCCCGACAGCAGTTCTAGCCGTCTATAGAAGCAGAAGTATTCAATGACCCGCCATGCTAGTAAAGCATTGAACCTAAACATTCTTTCAAGTTGCATATATTTTGCTGTCCTTAAAACCTTGGATACTCTGAAAAACTAGTCCCGTGCTTCTTCCTTGTTTTTTTTTACTTGCCTTCGCTGGACTTTTCTTAAAGTAACTCACGAGATAACGTTGAAACTCACGTATCATATTGTTGTGCCCCTTCTAAGAAATATTCCATTCCAGACGCCGCGACTTTAACGAGGTCGAAGGTTTAGAAGCGATAAGCAAGTCTATCGCTAGTCACTGCTCGGTTTCTTGTCAGTCAGTGATATTGATGGCCCTTTTTCTGAATGGTAGTCTTGTCATTTCAAGAATCTCACGCGAAAAATTGTGCAAAAGGTATTCTATTGAGTTTGACCATGGCAAAAATTCAGGAGCAACGTCATTTGCTTCCCGAGCTTGGGAGTTAGGAGCGTTTAGTTAAACTGGGCACATAGATAAAGGACCACTGCGACTTGTGTTGAATAAGGAATCAATGTGATTCGTCATAGCAGCACTTTTGAAAGTCAGATCACTTTAGCGCACTTATACAATAGTGCCTAGGGAGAGCAGTATGGCCAATTATGTCATGCTGATCAGCGGGACAATCAAACACCAGCAGGTCAGAAATCGGCTCTACGACCGAATCTGTACCATGGATAACTGCGTGATCTGCCCGTATGGAAAAGTTGGAGACTGTGCACAAAGATCTGTGGTTTACCAGCTTCAGTGTTTAACATGTGATGCGCTTGTACATTGGAGAAACTGGGAGACAATTAGGTGTACGAGTGAGAGAACATCTGGCTAGCAAAAGAAGAGAAAGCACGAATGCACCTCTTGGTAAGCACAGAAGGGAAGTCATGCTGGCATGATTTTGACGTCAAGTGTACGATACTAGCTTACGAAAACGATATCGGTGCTAGAAAGACCCTCGAAGCTTTCTATATAAGGCAACGTAATCCATGCATGAATAACAGAAATGAATGCATCTCCATAACTGCCGATTTCTTGCCCTATATCCCTCTTGTGAGCTATGATATTGGGAACGTAGTGCACTGCACGTACACTCCTTATAAGCAGTGTCTGGTCTGGTCCGGTTGGTCTCATTCATTTTACTAACTCTTCAAGTCACTGACGGAGGCTGAGCATGTCATCGGCTTTGGTGGAGTTGTAGTAACAGTGAGTAACCCATTAGTATTTCCACATTCTGGTTCATCAGCATAGGTGACAACTGGCTAAGTGCGTGTTGTGTTGGGCTAGGTAGCATTTGAATGTTTCGCTTCTAGGCCATTGAGAATGACGGCTTTCTCGAAACGTTAGGCTAATAAACATTCCACCATCCAAAACCTGTTTGGCAACAATACTCGAAAGAATTGTCAGTAGCTCGGATGATCAAAGATAGGGTAGAAACGCAGAATGCTGCGATTAGGGTAGAAACGCAGAATGCTGCACGGCATTCAGTAGAATGTCACTAAGTCATAGCAGTAAAATGGATTCGCCTCTCCATCGTGTACATATGTTGTTTTGTTGTGGGCCACATGCGCAGATTAATCCACTTTTATTATTTGCTTTGCTTTAGTGTAAATCGTGTGACACATTGTAAATAGAAACCACGTCTTCAGGGCTGAAAAATGCAAGATCTGAGATGTGAGGGATTTCATGTGTTTGGGGGTTGTGTAAAGAATGCGATGAAATTATGCGTTTCATGCGAATGGTATTATGCTTTAAACTTTGAGTACATGTATCACGGCATCGGATTTTTATGATGTCCATGACAAAGTTAGTTTGAGCGAAAACGTCCTGGCAGCTCCAGTTTGGAATTGTATTCAAACCTTGGTGGAGTCATTGAGCGTGTGTGTTAGATGTTTCATTTAATAAAGGGAGGCGGTGGTTTTTTACTGTCGTGGGTTATGTTGTTTGTTTTGAAGTGAACGTTATATTCTATTTTTCAGCCACGAAAGATTTATTCATTTGGCGACAATTTGCAATAGTTGTATGCCGGCAAACATATAGAGGAAGTTCTAATGTGGACAGTGAAATGAACAGGAAGGAGTCCTCAGTCCGACAAGTTAGTTTGAAGTTCACCTTTAACCTTTTGGGTGCTAGCTTAGATTGGGGGTTGGGGGCAGCGGCGGGTCTCAGGGCGGGATCGCCTGGCATGTTCGGAAATCCGTGGGCCAGGGGGAGTGTAGGCAGTCCAGGGGGTGGGGGGTGGGGGCAGTCACTTGACATGCGTGAAAAGCTGGAATGTTCGAGTTTACCCTTTCTCGCTCGGGAGAGCCCAAGTGAGCAGACTGCGAACGCAGCGCCGCGTGCCCAACTAAAGCTAGCACCCCCTTTTGTTGTCTGATAAATGCGCTGTTTTTTTTTTCTAAAGGTGGAGATATCCTTGCACAGGTTCTGTATTGGGATAGTATCAATTATCCTAGCCCATTCTCTGTTGGATTCTTCTGATTCTTGATTCCTCCCATTCCATGCATAATGTATTCCAGCTCAGTCGGCTGCATTTTCGCGGGTCGAGAGATGGGTCGGGAAGATTTCTCTGATGTTTTTTCAACTATGGTTGTGCGTCTTTCCTCGGCGGTAATATGGGAGGAGCTGGAATTTGGTCTCAGACGTAGAGTGGTAAGCATGTGCTGAAGGCCATTCTTCTACGTCGCTTTTCATTAGCTTTTAATGTATACTTTTCATTACTTGAGTTGCAGCTATCATTATTCGGAGTTCGATGAATTTTTTATTCTGGTACAGCACCACATGTAGTAGTTGTTCTTTTTTGTCGAAAATTGAGCCAGGTTTTGTTTCTTTTCATAGAGCTCACTGCTATGAGAAGTGTGAATAATTTTTAAAATATAAGATTTTCCCGTAGCGTTTTCTCTTTTTATTCCGCTTCACGTCATCTTCTTGCAGTAGCCGATATCTCGTGTTTCTTGTGTGGGTAGGACAAAGCAGGCTAAGAGACACTTGCGGTACGGGTGTATCAGACACTACGACGACTCGAAATTAATATTGGAGTGGAGCTGTTTTATCGGCAATCAAGAGGACGTCAATTACCCAAGAGGGTTTTATATCAAGTAGGCGTAAATTCGACGATTTTGAATTTTTTTTTAGTTTTTTTTTTTTAGCTTTCGGTTTTTTTCATCTTCCGTAGTACCCTATGAAGAATGATTTTAACTTGATTAAGGACGAAAATCGGCTCGGTCACATTGCCTCTAGTGAGTTAAGAACGTCGCCCATTACTTCTGCCTACATCCAGGTTATTTTTTTATGGTTAAGATTCATAAATTCTTTTACTTGAGCATCCGTACCTTGTTTCTTCAATTTTTACCACTAACCACTACAATGTTGATAAGAAGCTTCTTATTCAAATTTTGCGGTGCTTAAGCTCATATGATTTCTGTAGCGGAGTCAGGTAATCTTTAGTCCGGTCAGCAGTTCGAGTACAGAATAGGTGTCGACCATGCGACCGCCACGGTCGATACTTATTATTACTTCACACTCGAACTGCGAACCTACTGTATAATCCAACCCTTATGTTCGTTTGGCTACCGGAGATAATTAGGCTGCTATTTCATCTGCGGGAACTCATGTGGCATGTACCTCTTTCTTTATCGTGTTTCTTATAGTGCTTGATAGTGTTGATAGAAGTTGTTGCTATTTTAGCAAGTCCATTCAATGCGACTCCTCTGCGAGACGATGCGCGCAGTATTTCGAGCAATCCCGGAAGGAACCAGTTGTCAGACTTGAAAAGTCCAACATCTTGCTTATTGGTCCATCAGGAGTCGGCAAGACTTTCCTCACCCAAACTTTGGCAAGGTAAGCCTTTGAACTTGTACACATTGGGATCTTCACTATTTTAAGTTCATGCGATTTCCCCCCTTCTCGTTTGTTCTGTTTTCATTAGCAGAATTTAGCACACTACCGATCGCGCGCATTTTCACACCTAGAACTGGCACGAATAGCGGGCGTGGCTGCCTCATCTCACATTTGTGGAGTAGTGGTTAACACAAAAAACACGAGCGCCATAAAATCATGCTGTAAAAATTTAATGCATAGAAGACATCCTGAGTATCTCAGTAGAATTTTGGCCTAATCTCAGCAAAAAAAAAACGAAGTTCATTACCTTCGCCTCGAGATTTGCTTTTTGCCCTGATCGTTTCTGTGCGTTCTATATTCACTTCTTATGCCCTTTTTACCACATTTTTACCCTTTTTTCATGAAGCTTATTGAAACCCTTGATCATTCAAAGCATAACTTACTATTTTGTAAACCACGCCGTTTGTTGTCGTATTGGGGTACGATCTATGGGTGTGGAATACATGCATGTTGCGCACACCTTATGCGGCTTGCGAAAAGCTGATTATGTGGATCTCGGACTCTTTGGCTGTTCAATATGTACCCATCATCACCCTGCTATTGATTTTTTAATTGTGTTTGTTTATGTTGTTCATCATCACCCTTTTATTGATTTTTTTCAATTGTATTCACGGTATTTTTATGTTTGAAACGATTTCTGCTCAACAAGTCTTACATTATATGTAGGTTCGTTTGACGGTTTCCAGGCTAGAATTTCTAGCGGTGTCATTATCGGGGAGGGCTACGGGGGTTAGCGAAGTTGGAAAGCATTGGAGTAGTTTTTTTTATAATGCAATCCTAAAGTTCTTGATTTTTCGTATAGAATTCGTTCGAAGAAGGTGATAGTTAGCACTCCTAATCCCTCACCGAACCAGTATCTCTAGAAAAGAGAAAGGCACCATACAGAAAACGCTTTTACGATACAAATTCCGATTTATTCTGCCTTGATTTCAGAATACTGGATGTACCCATTGCTCTGTGTGACTGCACTTCTATGACTCAAGCTGGGTACGTCGGTGAGGACGTGGAAAGCGTGATTCAGGTAGGTTTTCAGATGGGTGGCACTAAAGTAATTCGAGATGTTCGTTTTTACAAGTGGTGCATTGCAGAAACTGGTACAGGCGGCGGGCGGAAATGCAGAAAAAGCTCAACAGGGTATCGTTTTTCTCGATGAAGTAGACAAGGTGCTTCTTTCGAATAATAGCCACGCCTTGAGTATATTTGCATTGTGGACTCAAAAACTAGATACCATTCGAGTGGTAGTCATGTGAGTGTAATTTCAGATAGCAGCTGCGCACGAGGGACATTCTCCAGCATATCGTGATGTCAGTGGTGAAGGTGTTCAACATGCTCTTCTGAAATTGGTCGAGGGTACAGTAGTAAACGTGAAAAGTGGACGGAAAAGTGTTGGTGCGCAACAGGACACTGTTCAGGTACACATGTGAAATTGTACTTGCTAGAACTTACAAATTTCAAGTATTATGTCAGAGGCAGATGGTAGAAATGGCATGTTGCAGAAAGGGGAATATGACCACATATAGAGGCCAGGTTTCAGAAGGGAGAAGACGCTTTCGTTGTGGTCATGGGAGAGGGGTGCATCCGTAGCGATCTAACAATTTTTTGCCTCTTTGTAGCTACCTGTGCTTGAAACAGTCGTTGCTTCCTTCACCGTTAGACTTTAGCCCATATAGCTGAGGCAAAAGAGAGCGTTCATTTCAATGATTTCATCAGTCTTTGAAATTTGTCCAGCGCGTACATCAATACGAAAACAATGGTATCGTTTCGCGAAGCTTTAGCCTGCTCCCCTTGTTTTTTTTTTCAATTCCACACCTCTTAGCACTTTAATTTTCATTTCGCACCGCGACCAGTTGATTTACCATCTGTCTTGGAGACATTATCTGCCAAGGTAAGGCCTACTGGTTGAAGGGGATGGAGAGGAGCTGCAATACGAAGTTATAACTGCGTTGCGCAGTTCTCAACGGCCACGTTGCGCAGTTTCGCCCGATTAGACACGTTCTCTCGCGCGAACATTCACACTCGCATGCTCGAGCCGTCTGTGTCTCCGCCCATACAGCGTGCGTTGAGGATCTCTCAACGTGCCGTTGCGAACTGCGCAACGCAGGGTTGACTCTGCTTGAATGGATGAAAAGCTGCGATGTGCGAGCCCGCACTTTCTCGCCGAGAGGACGAAAACTTGCTGCGCGCTGCGGCGTCGACTGACCCTCCCCCTCGCTCCTCCCTCACGTTAGTAGCTAGCACCTTAAAGTACACTACTCATAAATAAGCTGGTCTTCTATGTGTATCGTGCCTTCTTCTTTACAGGTTGACACTTCCGACATACTTTTCGTTGCATCTGGTGCTTTCAATAACTTGGACAGAATTGTAGCTCGTCGTCTCGACAAAAAGAGCTTGGGATTCGGTAAGGATTTCTGTCGCGTAGGGCACATTCTACATATATGTCTATTCTGTATCATTCAAATTGTATTCGCAAACTTCTTATCGTGAACCAGGCTTTGTTCTATTTTGCGTTTTCAATGTCATTCCGCTTTTCACATACATGAGGGCGCATTCATAGTCGGTCGTCCGATCGTAACGATCGCACAGCATTGGATGCGTATCGATCGTCAGACGTGTCCGAGGATTGGACGATCGATACGCATCGATGCTGTGCGATCGTTACGATCGTTACGATTGTTCGACCGACTTTGAATGCACCCTGAACACTATGGCCAAGCAAAGAATGAAATGGAATGGTTGAGGCCAACATCCTTAAATTTAGGATGAACGGTTTCCAAACGATCTTTTTAACAAGTGATTCGTAGCCTTTCAAAACATATGAGAATGTGAAATATTCAACAGCAACATATTCAGTTGCTTATGTATTGGTTAGTTTGACTTGACTCCGCACATCAATCTCTGCGCTACACGGGCGGGAGAGGGGGTGGCTGGGTTTTGGCCAGTGACTATTAATATTCAGGGACGGACAATCAGAATTTGCTGATCATGGGTTCGCCAATTTGCCAAATTATGTCCTGCTCACGTTTTTCATTCGAGTTTTTCTTTTGCTATTTTCTGAGCACTTCGCCGGACTTCAAGTCGCATCCAGAACCTTTTTTATTTAAATTTTTGACTCTAGCTCTGCCATTTTTTTCGCGCGCACAGCCACCGTGAGAATCCGACCCATGTTCTTCTGTTCTCGTACTCAGTTGCATTATATACGAGCTTTATTGGTTTAATCTTTAGAAAGCGCATGGAGCACAATTATCGAAGTATCATCACCCGGGTTGGGAGCATTTGTCGCTCCAACATGGAGGCCGCGCGTTTATTTTAGGCGTGCTTGGCAATTGTGGGCATTGCTTCTTTTCTACTAAAACTACTGCAGCTTAGTGTGTAAGCCGAAAAAGTAAAATTCGAGAAGAAAGCGATGCGTTTACCTCGCGGTCCAATTCGGATGTCTGTTATCCGCTTCATCGTGTAAAGCAATACTGACCATCTTGTAAAAGTTCGAAGCTTTGTTGCTCGTGCGAGATCGCAAGGATAACACACATGTAGGTCTAGAACAGCAGCAGAATAGAGCAAATTCATTGGAAAAAACCAGATTGATGGATGGTGGGCCACAGACAATTACAGGCAAGTGCACTAGAATTTCGTGGTCTCTCTTCCAAAAATGACTCTTATGCAACCTTTCAGCGGAATGGGAATCCTATGCGACCTTATAACGAACTAGGAGGAACAGGTCGTGATTGAGCACATGGTGCTTCACTGATTGTGATTTCTTATATTAGAAACCAGATTGGTCCCCCGGCGGCCACCGGGACCTCCCTTCACTGCATAATCCTTGACGCCTTCCTTTGTAAAAAGATTTCCTCCACCTCTCTCCATTTCCTCCTCTCCTCTCTCACTGCTCTAGCCGCCATTGTAGCACCATGTGAATAACCAAGAGTGTGCTAAGTAGGTGTTTATATAGCCGCTGTTCTGTTATCACAACCATGCCATTGCAAAACAGTGATAGGGCAAGCCCTGCGAGCTACCCAGATTTGTTAGCGGCCTGTTTACTCCATTGGCCGCCTTATCACTCACTTCATTTTGCGGACGGACAGACAGACGTGCATACACACAAACAAACCGACACACCAAACTTCTGGTTTAATATGAAGTGATTACAAGTTGGTTGGATTAGTGCTTGTCTGGCTCTGTCTGAGCCCAATTTTGAAACCTGACAAACCTGAAGTTGAACCTATTCAGCGATGAAACAACATGCGTTGTTCTGTAGAAGAGATGAATCTCTTTCGAATGGAATTTGGAATGACGTGAAATCATGTGATTTCAGATGAAAACTTTTAAAAAATAAAACGACATTACTCATCGGGTTACATGAGACATGCGTGTATGATTCAGAAATTGCCCGCAATTTTGGAGGAGCTTGCTACTAACTCCTGGTTCCATTTTTGTAAAATAATTTCGCAATGGAATTTTGAGTAAATATTGTTATAATGTGTCTGTATTTACTCAAACTTTGATTGATGCCCATTTCGATCTCAATCCAGAAAGACTCTAGCATGTCTCCGCTCTCCTACATATAAAGTTTGAACAGAACAGTTTTAAGGATCATCTTCGGGTGAACTTCGCGTGTCTACTGATGATGCTAACTCGGAACAAGCTCGTAAACGCGACTACTTGCTATCCAAAGCGGATCAAGGCGATCTAATCAATTTTGGAATAGTTCCTGAATTAGTTGGACGGTTTCCAGTGCTCGTACCGTTCCATTCCTTTGATCAGGACGTAGGTTTACCATCGATTTACTATTTAAGCTTCTTTCGTTATTAATTTTGCTAAAAATGTTGACATCTTTTTGATTGCCTTGATATACACGATCTTAACCAGTGGTATAGTCATACTGATGACCTTGAACCGGAAACCGGAATTTTGACGATTCGAAATCTCCAAGGTTCAAGTAGTCGATAAAGTTGCCAATATTGTTTTTTTTTCTTTGAATTGGCCATGATTACCGACTTGCTTGTTTCGGTTAGACAGTAGTGATCGAACACATGATATATGTAAGAGGACATGGCTGCAGAATGTGGCGGACGAGTTTTTTTCCTGCCACAGCCAAGCTCCTCGATTACTGTACAAGTCATTCTACAGTTGAGGAGATCATTGTCGTGCAGAGGATGGGGATATATCTAGATACATACAGGGTGTTCCATAAATACTGCAACACTTTTCTTATCTTGTAACTTCTCTCAAAGTGGACGTATCTTCAAGTGGTCACACACATTCTTAGTCCGTCCTTAAGATGTTGAAAGGAATGACATTTATTCGATAAGTCTCCCTGTCGCTGTGAGTATGGCTTCCAGTTGCTTCGAACACAACTCTAGTGTTTCCCGCATGGCATACCTGGAGTGCCTTCTTCGAAACTTTCTAGAGAAAAGGCTTCAGCTCCTCTATTTGGATGCATTGTTTAGTGCAGGCCCTGTCCTCCTAATATAGCCCAAATAGGATGGTCCAGCAGGTTGAAATCGAGAGATATGAGAGCCATTTGTTTGAGGATGTGAAATCGGGAACAGCATCATGAGACCAGTCCTAAACAATTTTGCCCTTATGCAGAAGCTGGCTTACTTCT